GTTGTATTTGCTAAAATTAGTATTTTCTCAATGAAGCGAATAAAATGTTTGCAAGTGACCTCTAGCGGACAGGTCGAAGAGCGAGTTTCAAGTAGATGTTCATATGCATATCCCAGGAGGATGAACTAGAGATATGTTGTATTTGTGGGAACACGAATTGTGCTTTATATTTAATGAAAGTAGCCTTTCCTCATCGATGGGCAAATCTGCATGACAAGATTTTATTTTGTTGGTTATTACAACAAATGTGTTTGCTATCAAAAGTGAACAGCGTTCAGTATCATTCCACGAACATTTATCGAAACTGTTCAAAAAGGAGTGCAACATCGCGGTAAATATAACAATTACTCGTAGCATTCTAACTGGACTGGCCCAAGGCAATTCGGTGGAAACATTGAAAGATTAAGATTTGTAAAACAAATCAAAGTTCGTTCAGGAGTAGGTTTGAGATCTGTATAGAGAGGGGGGTCGTTGCCTCTGTTTAGAGCACCTTAAGATAATTCTTTCTGCATTTTCTTCCATATCTCATTGCCGCTATTTAGTGCATTTGCGAGAAATGTCAGCAAAGCTCGTCAGCTCGGTGATTAACGCAGAGTGTAAAATTGGTGTCTTACCCGTCTTATGTATGACCTCGAAATCAATTGAAGGATATTTTCAGAGATCCTTCAAAAACAAATTAAGATTTAATTAAAACCATAACGATAAACGACCTTAATTTACATTAAAGCTACAAAATTGATTTTATTTTTCAGTAGATACGACATATTGGCACGACTCTGCCTGGGTTCGAACCCGCGACCTCCCACATCCGAGGCGGACGACCTAACCAGTAGGTCACCGGAGAGGACGGTTTTGTGAAAATATGTGTTAAGAACATTTCACCTTTCACAATTCCTTTGTTAATTTAGACTATTTGCTAGGATACAAACACATTTCGACATGCTGTCAACGAATGCTTACTTTCCTGAAAGGCAATTTCTAAATTTGATTATGATTACTTCATTTACTTCAATGTCTTTCGTTACGGCGTGATTTTAAAACTTCTGAGCCTTCATGTTCTTGGACTTCTATTCATAAAAATCTGGCCTCTTTGCGTGACAATGAAATGCAGTTGGAGAATGGTGTTGAGGGTATCGCTGTACAAAATATACTCGCAATTGTCGCTAAATTACATTTTTTAATTTGATATGTGAATGTTTACAAGAAAGAAGAATAAAACTTGCATTACATGAAGAGTAGCTATAAAGTCAAGGCACATAATGTTTACAATTTCATTCTCTAGACCCTTGCGCATGATTACGTCTTTATTATCAATGTTATCGAAAGAAAACCACATTTGTTAAATTCAGCAAAGATTGTAAAGTGAAATGTTGAAGTAACTTGCAATAACCTGATTTAAATCCCATATAATCCTAAAGTTTCTATCACAGGTCCAAAATATGAAATATTCTGAATAAATATCAAAACTTAAATATGCTGTTGCACTGTAAGTCTTGAATCAAAATGTTAAAATAAAAAGGTCTTATAATGAAATTCAGAATAACCCCAAAAATACTGTTTTTGTCCAAACTGTCAAAGGACCCTTTGTAAGTCAAATGAATATTTTGCAAATAATTATACAGAATAGTGTAATTGTTTTCTTCTTCCTTGTTATTTGTGCTGCAGAATATTATAAGATACAGCTGCAATGTAGGTTCTGCACAGATGAAAGTGTACTGAAACATGGACCGAACACGAACTCTGTTCGATATAAGCAGATTCCAAAGCAGCAGGACGCCCCAAATCCAGGTTGCACGTGTAGGAGTGAACGAACTAGTGAAACTGACAAATCCGCTTAAATCGCCAAGACTTTACGTTAGACGATTGATTGTAACCAGTCTCTTGTTGAAAAATCCATCCCAACAGAGACTTCGCACGGTTAATACATTTCTCAAGAAATGGGGAATTGGATTACAATTTTCAAGAAACGCCATTTTGTAGAAGTAAATGTCAATAGAACTTGCACAATTCATTTATAATACAAAAAATATTGCTTTATGCTGAAAAAGTAATTTATTTTCACATAAGGGTAATATGTTCCAATTTTCAGTCCGATTTTCAGTCCGGTTTCATGTTATTCAATAATATGACATTTATGCAATACTACAAAGGCGTTGGAGAATAATGCTTAGTAGAAGGTATTGCTATATAAAAAATTGGTATATCAACTATTATTCCCATACTCTGGTAGTCGCTATGAAAACAAGAATATTTTATGAAATTCTTGGAAAGTTAGCAAAAGAAGTTTCTACATTACATAAAGAACGAGAATAAACCCTAGACAAAATAAAGTAGTTTGCAAACTATGTTCGATATTTTCCTTACGGTTTTAATTAAACTATCGTTTTCTCATTCTTTTACACACTTCATTTTCCTGCTTTTACGGTGAGGAAATGAATTTTACCCTCTACTTGTCAAATTTAATACTGAGAACGCGCTTTGTTACATTAGTCGTCATTATCCGATAGCGCGAATCTGTCGAGAAGAAAACGCCGAGATATGGCGCCTGAAAGTACATCAGACAACCAACGCCAACGAATTTCTTCCGTTTTTCTAAATAGTTCCCGAACCTGCGCACTAAACTACTTGATACTGATTTTACAAGTGGTAATCTTTCGATGATTATATTTATTTTTTTTTACATTGGTCAGTTAGGTTAGTGCTTTATGGACAATTATCAAATTCATCCCATTTTTTTTAATAGTCTATAAAATAAAATGTCCCAAATATAAGATGGTCCAGCATGAATTTGTGTTATCGGCGTTACTGAGATTGTATTTCTGTGTGCCGCTTCAGTCTTCTATCAACATTATAGAGTCATTAAAAAAACATCTGCACGAAAAGTATTATATCAGCGAATTTAGACTTCAGCATTAGGATTTGCCTATCGGAATAAATATCACTGACCATCTTCTGAGACTTTGATAATTTGATGATACCCACTTGTTCTTTAGAGGTATTAAATCCATGTTTACTTGTCAGGTTGTATGAGATTCGATGCAAAACTTGGTTCTGCACAACTTAGTATGTATCAAACAGGATTGTGGGTATGACAATTCCTTCGACAATGATACATAACGTATCCATTAAACGATTCACATGTTCAGAGTGCACAAAAACTTGTAAGTGAAGTACATTTTACTTATGCCTTGTCCTCAAGTCGTATCCCCCAACGATAGTCACACCAAATCGGGTAACATTTCAAACATGACGTTGCAAGGGACGAAACATTTAGAAACAAAAATTGGGATTTGATTTCAACTTGGAAAATAGTCCCCTTTCTGTTCAGTTCGTAATGTATAAATGTTCATTCTACCTTTTAAAACTCACTTTAACTAAAATGTTATATTAGCAAATGTTCACATTCACTTGTTATATATTGATATCCAAAACAGTATCGATCACACCATCGTTGAATGGATGCATCTGAAAAGACCTGACCAAATCAGATTGCTTTTTACTTAAGAGAATAGTTGGCAATAGTCGCGACATCTGAAGACAGTGACTAACAATGTCGCACGTCAATAATTCAAATTTAATCCATTAACTAAAATTATTTTTCGCTAATGTAAGCATGTCGATATCATTGAAGTGGCAGTTACTTAAGCAGAGGATGCACGGTATGCTATTATCACCAATTGATTTAGCATGCTACCCACAACAACTTTCAACCGCAGCTTAGCGTGACAATTGTTTAGAACCAATTTTAACCTAACTTGGTTCCTAAAGATGTAATTGTTCCATTCTTTTCTCATGGAGCTTTCTAGCAAATGATAAGTCAAATACAAAATAAAAACGTTGTGTTTGTAAAACTCTACATGGCTGTCTCCACACTAGGTAAACCTATAGATACGTTGTCTCAACCAGCCCGTATTCGCAACAAGTTGGATGGGTTCCATAATCAAGTATTTTGATTGGATTAAGTGGGATGGAATCGGCAAAATCAGGCACAAGGGGAAAGCAGTGTTTGCAGGCTGGTTTGCTGCAATTTCAAGTACGAGTGATTTAGATTTTTAACGCAGATTTAACTGGTTGTTTGGTTGAGTTTTTACGGTGCACCAGCACAAAGAGACCATTTAGCGCCATACAAAAGATTATATTCTTCATTATATACAAATGGTAAAAATGGGCTGTATCAACCAGCGATACGAAACCAGATAGCTAAAGAAAACGATAAGAATGGTAACGGTGATTAGTTTCCCGATCAACGGGGATTGCAAATAATACATGACAACGAAAACATATGAAAGGTAATTAAAAACTAGCGACCGTACATATATATAGCACAAAAATGTTTAAGATGATAAAAAAGAAGTTATAACTTATGATATAGGTTTACTTCTTTAAGGAAGTCTATAACATAAGAAATAGTAACTGTATCAAAGCTCCTTCATGTCTTGTACATTGTAATATTGATTACGTCTAGATTGGAGGTCGAAACACTCGCATTAATTTGTTGAGCTTAACGTCATTTTTCAGCACACGATAGGTTGTTCATGGTGGCCAGTACTAATGGTTCAGGAAGAAACCGGATAATCACCGGAAATTACCACCGAACCAAGAGAAGCGTAAAGTGCTTAACTGGTGGGTCTTTTAGTATGTATGAGTGGGTTAACTAAGTATGGCCGATTCGAATTCTAGCAATGACTACCTCCTCCTTACGGTTGGCTCTGTAGGAAGGAGTCCATTCTCCTAGAATTGGCTTGATGGTATGAAGTTTATTATTCACGGCATCATTCCATGATGCCTGCTATTTTTTATGTAAACAGTCTTTGATACGACCTTTAAAATCAGATTTAACAATTTTTCAGTCATATCGCTACGACATGTGCCGTGTGACAGTTTATATTGATGTATAAAACACTCACATTATCTTGACACCAGGCTGCCAGTCGAAACACTGACTTATGTTGAGCGCGAAACGAGGCAGCTATTAGTAACATTTTTTAAAGTCTTTGGCATGATTAGGACGGAGTTCGAACCCGCGACCTCTCGCATCCGAGGCAGATGCTCTAACCACTAGGCCACCGAAGCGGTGTGCAATTTCAAAATTCCCCATTGAGACTAATAGAGATCAAGAATATCCTTGAATTTTCACATTTTTGTCATCAAGCATATTCTTCCATTAAAACCTCAGGTTGTAATCACTAGTATTTTTGAAGATGCCATATATTTGATGTTAATATGCTGTATAATTTTTATATTTAAGATCATTCAACAAAGACAGTCTTTTGATAAATTATTCATTCCAAAGATCATCCAACCGTTTGATAACTTGAATCATACTATTATCAAGATATCAATTCTAAAAGAAAGAAACGAAAATATTAATTTGTGTACAACATATTGAAATCTAGTTATTGGAAGATAAAAACATCCAAATTTAAGTTAGTGCTTTGATATTGATTGGTGTGTAGGAGAAGCGTGCTCCAATCAATAATTCATATCCTGAATATAATAAGGACATTGAAATGAATTTAGATTAAGCATTTATTATTGTTCAGCTTTCACTTGGTAATGGAAAAAGCCTAATTAATAAGCCAGTTTATAGTTTAATCGGATAAAAGCCAAATAATGTTTTATCTCACCATTCAATCAATAAAAACTTATTAAATTTCGTGTGATGTTGGGAACAAATTGATAATCACCCTAGGGAATAATTAAATTAATTAAGTTCACAGTGTGAATGACCACTGGAAGGTTATGGACATGATCCAAAAGGTCGTTACTTGGAAAAATACCGTCCACACTCACACTCTACCCCCTCCACTAAAACTTGATATAAAGTTAAAGCTGTCCTTCGAAAGCACGCAAGATGCACGCGTGATTTTTGGACAAACATCTTTTGAGACTGGATGTAGCACTTGTGATCAGGCAGCTTCCAGAATATAAAAAAGGCTTTGAGCTGCTTTATTCTCAAGTGCGGTTCCATGCTCAAAAGAGTATCATGTCTATTACTTACAGGTAAGAAACTTATGCTTTATACTCGCTTTTGGAAGTTAAAGATTTTATAGTGAGTTGTGGTATTCTTCTGAATTATTTTTATTTCATTAATATAATGTAATAGTGAATTCTCTTTTCTACTATGAAATATTTTACTGATTTAATATTTTACTGAATTGATGTTCATTGTATTTATAATATAATATTGAGTTCCCTTCCTCCACAATCATAATGTAACGAAATATTTTACAGCTTCGCTGTTCATTAGTATTTGTTTGAAAATTACTAGCTTCATGTTATAATTTAATTGAGAATAAATATATATTCTTTAAATAATAAGTGTAACATTCACAGATCTTTTTCAGGTCTTTACCTTACAATAAATAAAATAAAATACATTTATTACAGTTATTGAATTTTAGGCGCTTTAATATTTAAATCACTTGTATTCAAAAATACAGAAAAATGAATGGACAAATGAAATACTAGATTGTGGAAGAACTATTTAATAAGTATTGTAATATGTATTGTATGTATTTTCAACATAAATAAATTTACATGTTGTATCTTTAGAATATATATCTATATATATGTCAATAAAGTGCGGTTCCATGCTCAAAAGAGTATCATGTCTATTTCTTACAGCGATCCCACCTCTTCGCAGCCAAGCATTCCCCACAAAAGATGTAATCTACACCATCATATGTGACACCTTATTCTTATGAATGCTGAACTTCCTGCCTTCTCGTATTAGACACGAGAAGAAGGTTATGATAGAATCGTCTAAAAACAACAACGCCAGAATTTCCTATCATAATACTATTACTGTTATTATAATTATTATTATTACAATTATTTTTATTATTCCTTGGGTATCTATTGACAGCCCCATTTCGATTTTAAAGCAGGTGTATTTGTGCTATAAATTGTTTAAACTTTTGATAATTTATCTGAAAAATGTCAATGATTTGAACTTTCCAACCAAAACCGCCCCTTTCGATTACCACGGTAGAGATCCCAAATCTGATTTTCTGATGGCCACCCAATTAGCGGTTTCGTGAATCTCCTCGCAGTGGTGAGATGAACCCATTTTGTTTTTCTGCGTCATTGTGAAATATTTATGACTTAGGACTGAACTTCCCTGCTAAATAACTGGGGTAACGTTTATTGTGGTCGTGAAATCAGTGTGGTAGAAGTTCTCATTTAAAGTACGAGAAATTGTTTTGACCCGGAAATAGGACCATTAAACCATCAGGTATTCGTGAGCTATAACGTATTCTGTGAAAAAGCTGTGAAGTTTTATTGTAATGATCTATGTTGGCAATGTCAATGGAATGGTCCATGATGGTACAGTCAGCCTGTAGTTGCAATGATATATAATGGTATTGAAATGGTCTATGATGGCAATGCCAATAAGAATCCCATTGTAATTGGAATGGTCTATAATGCCACTAACCATTAGGAATCCCATTATCACTGGAATGGTATAAAATGTCTGGTCTTCCACAAGAATCTCACCGTCATTGGAATGGTCTGTGACGGCAGTATCAACCTTAAGAATCTCCTTTTTGAAATGATATACAATGGTTATGTAACCCTTGCGCTCACGCGCGCCCCTAGATCCTCAGTCTTACATTGTCTATTGCATAACTGCTAAATAAAGGATTTTCCAGACCGGTTGTGTGCCGATTCTGGCTTTATACCTATAAAATACACGGACTGGCAGATGTGCGTGTGTATTTGTGTAAACCTTAAAATGTGTGCATACATTTCGTGCTCGGATATACATTCATGTTTTTATCCACTTGTATCTTGGGTGTAATGGTAAAATATAATGGGCTACTGCGACCGCAAAATTAAAATCTAGTATTAATCTAATTACAAAATAACCCAGTGAAGATAGATTTACGAATATGCCTCAACATTTTTAGATTGCAAGATTTTTAGAAAGCCAATCTCTAAGGCAATTCTGATTTATGGCTAATCTTGGAAATTTAGTATTGTGAATTATGTGCGAAACTATATATATAACCGCTTTCCTCAAAGTTATGTCTGTACCATCTAGAATACAATGTATTGAAACATGCACACGGAATTGGATTATAAGCTATAATGCAAATTTTATTAAATACAATTTTCCCCAAAATAAATTAACCAAAAGAACTGGTATAGATAGTGAAATAAAATTGAATGATGAAAAGATTTTGCAATTTGTATAATTCTACATCAAGCATAGAATTTGGATGACATACCAAATAAATTTAATTACCCCGTTTTCATACCTTTAAAATGCAACCGTGTATGAATATGGTCGGAATAGTCAATACTGCTGGTTATATGACTAGATCAAAGGGTCAAAATTTTGTTATGGGATGGGTTAGTGTGGTTCTTCATATTTGGGCTACTGGTATCGTGTCACCATGATGGCGAAATCTCGCCAGTTTGCCAAAAGTAAAATCTATTCATTAAAAATTTTCAATGTTTAATCTCTATATATGGCTTTATTTCAGTCCATTTTTCTCGTACTCCCTTGTAATACACGTTGGTGCCATTCGGTGTTGAGATACTGGAAGGTGTGAATAGTAAGTAGGAGTGTCACCTTTGACACCCACCCTTCGTTTTCCCAGAGTGTAACCAAGATCAAATTATTTCCATCCGTTTTGTGATATGATAAATTCAATCTTCCTCAATGGATGCTTTTTAAAGAATTTTTCGTAAAAAAAATGCCTTCTGTGAAATGTAGAGATGAAAGAAAAGAGACAAAATTTGAGACTTACACTTGGACGATTCAGTGACTACAAATATTTTAGTAATCCGAAAGCCTTCAGAACAATGGCGTGCTGGGAATAAATGATAATACCAACATTTGCTATGTTTTGTACATCTAGGTGAATAAGTTTCAAATCATAACTAATCAGTTCGCTGAACTTCCAAAAGTAAATGTGCATGCACATGTAAAAGCATGCCGCTTCATTATATTAAACGAAATTTCATCTGATTATTGGCTATTCGTAAGTTAAAGCATTGATGAATAATCAATTTTAAATAAAAGGAAATTCGTATTTGCCATTGTTTATTGTAACAATTGTGTAGCTTTTAACTTAAGAATGAGGTAGTTTTAGAAATCCAGTAGGTTCATGTTGATTAGTTTCTTGAACGAAATGAAACTTTGCTTATAGTTGTATCAGGCATAATATTTGTATTCGTTTCGTTAAAGAATAATATTTCAACCTAACCCTATTTCGGAATTCCTGGTTTTCATCGCTTTCCAGCCTGCTGAATGTATGCCTAATTTCTTTGGTGAAAATTTGAATTTACTGGAGAAAAAAAGGTAGGTAAAGTCTGGCAAAAACTTTTTAGTAAGGCGCTATTGGTTACCAGTTGTGCGATATTCTTGAAAAATTGAATTTCATTACCCTGTTCATCGACATCAAAACGTGCTGCACAGCGCTGATAGTCAGACCCATCCATCCATCTATGACCATGAATCGTTACTAGTCTAAGGATTTTTGACGATGCGATGTACCCTCCACACGTTTAGTGGAAAATTGCCATGCTTTTTTTTTTACAATGAAAAGAATTTATACCTCACTTTTACGCTCCCATAAATAAATGTAATTAATACAGTTAAAGTATCACTGCAGTTTTGAAATTGATTTACGAAATCCCGTAATCCATGTTACGCATCATTGAACATCACCTTATATTCGTTTACTTTCCTTTTATACCTCGTATGTTAAATTTACAACCCAAGTAATAAAGTCTTGTCTCGTCTCTTGGCACAATCGTTATCTATATACACGCCATAGTAGTTCCACGCTTGCGGTAATGACGTATGCACTGCCATATTTAAAACATCTATACTACTATTACACTTTCATACACTTTCAATATTTAAGGCTTAATTTATTCAATCGAATTTTTCAGGAAAAAATTACCTTAGACACGAAAAACATACCACTATTTAGTGTAGCATACATGATCTTATTGAGGACAGAACAGTGACAAATCGAAAAACTTCCAGGCAGCAGATTTTTAATTCCCAAAAGCATAAATACAAAAAAAAATCACATTCGCCAACTTCAAAAAGC